AACTGTAATAACTAATAATTACTAATAAAAAGTCCCCAGGCCAAGAAGGTCACCTTAATACCGAAAAAAAAAAAAAATTAAAAAAAAAAAATTATACCAACTATTGGTAAGGCTTTAGATAGTTAGTTTAGATATAATCTAGATGAAATAAAGTATATTCTCCAAAGCCTTCATTAGTATCAACATGAAAAATATTAAATTGAACAAGATCTAAAAAAAACAAAGTTTAATAAAAGTTGTAAAGAAATAAATATGTGTTGTAGTGAAGTAAGTATTTTTTTTTTATATAATATAACTATTAAATTACTAGTATAGCTTGAAAGATAATTATATACTCTGAAAATAACTATTTAACAGGCTGATCTATATTTAATTTATAGAAAATAAGGCAACACATCTGAGAATTTAATTATATAATTAATTCCTGTGATAAAAACTCAAAAAACTTGGCTCTTCTATTAGTTGAATAATTTTAAAAATAACTTCGAGGATATAATAAATAAAAAAGATTTCTATTCAGATAAAGTCTTGGAAACAGATATAGAAAGAACAGAATCTAAGCGATGATTAAAAATTTGACCAGATTATAAAAAAAAGATGATTTTTATATGATTTGAGTTTATAACAAGCAATGGAGGTCTCAAAGAGTAATTAATTATTATTAAAGTTTTTTATTAAATTTTTATAATCTTTTCTTTTATTTTCTTTTATTGGAAATTAATCAGATTAAAAAATCCTTCGACTTGCCAATAAAATATGAAAAAAAATTTTTTATACTAAATGCTCTAGAAAATAATGATATTGTGATACAAAGTGGGCAAATAGATTAAAACCACCTCTCAACACTCCAGTTTGGTCTATTTCAACTTTGTACATTTCTGATAAAGTGGTAATGATGGTAAATATGGTGATGATAAAAAGAAAGTTAGTAAAAGCAGTAATAGTAATATCATTGCAAATAGAAGTAGAAGCAATAATTAAAGAAATGACAGTAATAGTAGTAGTAGTGAAAATGAAAATGGTAATACAAATAGCAGTGAAAATAATAATACAAGTGGTAATAGAAACAGTAGTAATAGTGAAAATAAAAATGCAAGTAGTAGTGAAAATAGAAATAGTAATAAAAATAAAAGCAGTAATAGCAAAGAAGATGTTATTACTGAAGAAGAAGAATTTTAGAAAATTATAAAAGATTTGTAATATTTTTTTTTAGCTATAGCAATATGTAAAAGTATCAAAGCTATACATTAATTTAAATAAATATATTAATATACAAATGCTTCTATAAAACAAATGTTATAATATTTATATAAGTATATAAATAAAAATAAATAAAAAATAGCCCAGTTAGAAATAATGATAGGCATATTATTTAATTCTGAAATGTATCTAGTTTTTTTGCAATTCAGAGCAAAATAAGATTCTAGTCAAGTTTATTAATAAGCCTACTGGTATACCAATATTGAACTTAAAAGTTTCTAATTAGTCTTTGATTTCAAATAGATACTTATAGAAATAGAAGACTAATAGAAAATAATTAAAATTAAAATCAAACTACCAGTAGGTCTTTAAGTAATTGATAAGTATCTTAAATACACCCAAAATGTATCTGATTTATTTGCAATTTCAAGTAAAATAAGAACAAATTGGGAATAAAAAAAAGTCTACCAAAAATTAATTTTGTTTCTTAATATCTCTGATTGGACTATGACTTCAAACAAATATTTAGTAAAAATAATACTAATCTGCACACCTATACCATACTGATTTGCTTTAAAAATTGGCCTGTACTATACTGATTTGCTCACCTATACCATACTGATCTGCTATAACTATATATATATAAACAATAGAATCAGTGTTGGGCAAATTAGTGGTCGACCAAAAATTTACCAGTCAAATTGGTCTAGTCAAATTGGTTAAATGGTCGAACTGGTCAGATTAGTCAAATCTATTATATAAATATAATATTTACAGTATATATATTATATAGTAAAATTATATTTAAATATACTATTTGACCAATTTAATCAGCACAGATCCTTTGACCAGACCGGTCAAATTGGTCAAATTGGTCCAGTCCAATGGTCAAACTGGTCTGGTCAAGCCAACACTAAATAGAATATAGGAAAATAAGAGATGAATTTAAGGAATTATGGAGTGCAGGATTCGTGCTTGCTACAGCAGTAAAATAATGTATTTTATTTTCGGAATTATTATTCTCTATACTGGATCTAGTTATTCCGGAGATCTTTATTCGTTACAGAGTAACGGTAAGTTTCTCATACGTATCAATTTCTTACTCATGTAATTTCTATTTTTGTCAAGACCGTTACCGTTATATTTAAATCTCGCCTTTAAGAATTCACACTTAAGTCCAGATAAAATATAAGGAAAATTCAATAAAGTTCAGATAGTTCAGATAAGATTGATCATATCCGGTGTAAAGTTTTTTCTGAGAAGCGACTGTAATAATTTTCGTGTTACATATAATATACACTTTCTTTTGAGCAACATTAAAAAATATATTAATGAATTTCTAAATGCTATAGATTCCTATCATTATATTAATTAAATTTTGAAAAGTAAATCTATTTCAAATGTATACGTACTGATATTATTGTACGTATATATATATATTAATTAAGTACACTAATTGAATAATTTCTTAATGATGTTGCATTAATTATGAGAAATTCGAATTTTGATGATTTAAAATTAAATGAGAACGATTCTTCAAATATTAGTAATGGGACCACAGCCTATTGAAACGATTGAATTATAGAACTAAAGACAATAAAAGCCGTCCGTAATTCAAATACATTTTACTCACAATCGAGACTTAAAAATTTAAATAATAATTAAACTGTATTATTAGTTATAGTTATTGTATGGGTTGTAAAAAATAACTAGGGGTTACATGGCCGATGCCGTGCAAATTTAGTTATTTTATAACCCATATAATACAGTAATAAGATCTGTTATTTCAAACATGTACAGTACATAATCCGAAAAAAAATATCTATATCATGCTAAGTTAACAATATATCGTGCTTATATAATAACAAATAACATGAAAAAAATATGGACGCACTCTCTAAGAGCGCACACCTTCAAATAAAATAAAATTCTAACTGCATACTACGTACAGTAACTGCATACTGCACACACGAGGAGGTCTGACTACTATATATCACGTGGGATATAGACTTTAAGTGATACGTACTGTACAATAGAGCATTCGGATGCATAAAACATTCATATTTTTTGGCCCGTATACGTAACGATAAAATTATAACCAAATCAAGTCGTAAATTTTTTTTTCTAACCACTTAAAAAAAAAAAAAAAAACATTGGTTTCATATATATGTCATAGTACTGTATATATTCCCATCATCCAATTACTGTATGCTTTTTTTAAAAAAATATATTTCCATTTTTGCATTCATCTTAAAAAAAAGGTATAAACCTATAAATAATGTTACTGCATCCGTGCAACTTTAATTCAGTAATTATTTATAGATTATGATCACACTTGCCAAGCGTCCTAGAGTTTTGTAAAGAAAAAATTTATCTTTTTATAAATTATACAATTTTGGCTACTCTTGGATGAATTTCACCTACCTATTAACTAACAAATTTTAAACACTCGTTATATTTTTTTGGTTTTCGCAAGCCTGCAAGGTAAATGACTCACCCCGAAGCCCAATCACCTGTAATTCAAGTCAGCAATAACGCAGACACCTCACTGCCAACAATTAATAATCGAATGTCCACAGCTCAAACCACTACTTCACAATCTGAAAACATAAATTCAAGTTCTGGTGGCGATTCAACAACGTCCTCCTTACCTTCAAATATCTCTCAAAATGATACTTATTTAGTCGAGACAAATGATAACCCTGAGCTAGGGAATAAGATCAGCTTGACTTTACTTTTGGTTTCAGGAAAGCGTCACACTTTCTTCTTTGACCCTAGTTGTACTGTTGCCATGGTAAAAAAACAGATCTTTAATGAGTGGCCTGAAGGTAATAAAATTATCGGATCAATTAGTTTATTTTTTTTATACAAAGGTCAATTGTGTTAAGGATAAGGTCAACATTGGTTTCTCGAAAATTTTAAATTTTATAGTTAATCAAAAAATTTTTTATTTCTTTATGCTCAATTAATTCATTCTATCAATATTTCTTAGAATGGGCTGAAGAATCCGTTCAATCCGTTTCATGTCTGAAGATTGTCTATCTCGGTCGAGTTTTGGATGATGGAACTACTCTTGAAGGTAAGCTTTGTAAATATTTCATTTAAGATTTCATTAATTAATATATTGAAATATATGATATGCGTATATATATATATATCGATGTTAATAGCTATATCTATGTCTGCCTGTACTTATTTTTTATCTTAATTTATTTACTTCTTAGCCAACAAAATTCAACGGGGACAATCAATCATTATGCACCTAGCAATCAAAAATTCTATATCATCGGATAATGACGGTTTGTTTAACCATTCCATATGATAATCGTATTATAAAAAAAAAATAATTATTTTTTAAACTATTACTTCAATCAATTACAGACCCAAAATCCTCTGAGAATGCTCCAAAATGTCATTGTACGATACTATGACATATTTGGCTAAATTTTTTATTCTTTCATGCTTTGGTGGCATATCCTGGACCCTATATCTTCTACTTTTAATGTTATCATAATTTAAACTTTTTTCCCTGTAACTACTGATGTAAACTGTTGGCTTAGCTTGGCTCATGTGGCTCATGTTGACCAAGTTGTGCTAATCATTCAGCTTTTAATGACCAAGCTGAACTATTTGTAAGCCGACTAATCTCAAGCCATGCCAAAATCTATTACTTTAATCAAAAACTAATTTTTGCTAAGCCAAGCCACTGCTTATAGACTGTCGATGTGGCATTTTTTATAATTTAACCACATTTAAATTGCAAATGCATGATAAATTAAGTATTTAAATTTTTTTAAAAAAAACATTTTGGTTTTGAATTATATTATATATATATATGTATATATATATATATATATATATATATATATATATACACATTTGTATATACACATATTATTAAAAATAAAAAATTTTTTTCTGGTTGTGTTATTAAAGAATTTACCATTGGCTAGTAGTTTTATTATAAAATTTATTATTTATTTTTAAAATTAATATATTAATAAAACTTCTCTTAAATACAAAATAGAACCCGGCCATATTAATATATTACAAAGTTAGGATTAGAGTTAAGGTTGGGGTTAAGGTAAAATTGTAAAAAAAATATTTTTTGTTAGTTACACAACAAGGTTACTTTAGTAAATTTAATTTTATATTACTTTAGATAAATAATACAGTAAATTTATTTTTATTAATAAACTAATAATTAAAAGTTGGATTTAATACTGTAGTTTAATAATTAAATTTTTTTAACTTTTATAGCCAAATTATATATTAATTTAATTTTTAATAAAAATAAAATTAGTATTATTAAATAGAAAAAGTTTAGTTAAAAACTAACTCTATTAGTATTTGTAATCGATTTTGCATTAGTTAATAAAATTGGTTTAGCTAGCTTAGTTAGCCAATTTTTCAAAAAATCAACTTAGTTGACTCTATAATAGATTATATAAATTATATAAACTAGTTTATAGTAAAATTCAAAAATTTTTAAAAAAAAAATCAACAAACATAAAACATGAGCAAGGTTGACAAATATTTGAAAAAATTTCTAATAATATTTGAAGATTAATCAAATAAAACTAAGAATAATTAACTTTGATTTAGCTAGCTAAGCTAATTTTTAAATATTGATTTAGAGTGTTTTTAAGCACCTACCTTAATAAATTCAGTAAAAAATCTGATTGGCTAGTTTGATTAAGCAGACTAATTAAATTTGTTTTTGAGTTTATTGAGATAGGCACTTGAAAATACTCTTAGTTAAATTAATAAATAATAGTTAACTACAAATACTAATCTCTATAGTGATCTTATATATAGCAGCCAATTATATTTTAAAATTAATTTTTTTTTTTTCAGTATTAAGGTAACCTCCTTGGCCTGGGGACTTTTTATTAGTAATTATTAGTTATTACAGTTGCAATGAAGATACAACTAGCCACACGTGCACCTTTTGGGTGCCTATTTAAGTAGTCCGCCCGCAGGTTCTACACTAGA